AAGAGAGTGAAAAGAGAGAAATACCAGGGCTGAGGGCCAAGCCTCCTCCAGTTTTTATTGCTGGTGAATTAGAAATTTGCCTTTCCCTTCCTATCTGAGAGGGCCCAGAGAGGAGGAAGTCACATTGGCTGCCCCAACTCCCCACTGATGGCCATGCCAGGCCTACCCTGGGAAACGCTGGGCTACCTCAGGGCTCTGGGAACCCAAGGGTCAGTGTTCCTCTCAGGTTAGCCTTTTTCTTCAAGGGCAATCACAACCACCACCACACCACCCTCAAAAAAACAAGGGCCTCAGGCTCAGGCTTTGGGCCCAGTGGAGCTTGGGCACCAAAGCTTTGAGCAGTGCACCAAAGATCAAGCAGAATTTTCTACTGGAAGGAAAGGTGAAGTTTGGGGGAAGAGGTGGCCTGGAACAATGATGTTCTGAGCATAAAAGCAGGAGGCTGGGGGAATGGAATAGGGAAGACACAGGAAGACGTCACAGACACTCATGACCTCAGGAATTGGGTGAGGGGAGTGCCTGAGAGGCAGGTAGCACTTAATAGCTGTAGTTAGAGCTGGGAAGTGGCCCTGGGTGTGGGGTCAGCCAAGCATGTGGGACTGTTGCCCTTGGAGCCTGGCCAGAAGGGAGCTAGGTAGAGCTAAGAAGCCTCTAGGTGACCCTTCCCAGGAACAGAACAGATCTTTCCTGGGCATTGAGCTTCCAGCCCCAGCCCTTCCCTCCCCCAACACACACATATGGACACACATCCAGGACCAAGTCGGGCTCTGAGGCCTGAGCCCAAGAGACCTTGGGGGGAGGGGCTGGGCAGGTAGCCCTCTCAACCACAGGCAGGCCATCTGCTCCCACTTGTCCTGCCAATCTGCCCAGGGAGGGAGAATACTGCAGGAAGGAGAGAGGCCAGGAGCCTAAGGTCTGTCAGGTTCAACAAACCCCATGCAGGCCCCTTCAGGGTACATGGCCTAGGAACCAGCACAGAGAGCATCACTGCACGCACAGTGGCTAACAGTAGCAACCCAGACCCATCGAGGGGTTGGGGCACCTCATGGTGCTGTAGGCCTGCCACCTCCATCTCCAACAAGGGCATGCCAGCGAAAGGAGGCTGGGTCCCTCATCCCCACTCACTCTGCCCTGTTCCCTCCTTGGGAGGAGGGTCCGAGTGGGCTGCCCAAAGGGGCAGTGGTAGAGCTGGGAGGGCACTCAGTGTGGGGAGGGGAGGGATCTGGTCAAGGCTGCTTTGAGAACCTCTTTGGTCTGGGGATACTAGGAAATGTGACGAGAGATGGTGGGAAGGGATACTGGGGATTCTGGCCTTTGACAGGACATTCGTCAAAAGGCCGCATGCCCAGGTCAGGGATCAGATTTCTGTGGACTCAATACGCTCAAGGCGGGATGGGGTCCAGGCTTTCTTCTCCTCGCTATGTTGGGGGGTGGGTGTGCTGGCACCCCCCGCAGCCCCGCGCTCCCGCAGCCTCCGCTCCAGCTGCTGGTTGCGCTGGTACATCTCCACATAGCTCAGCTGCAGCTGCTTCTGGTACTCGATGACCTTCTCCTTCTCCTCCAGCCACACGCGGCGCTCCTCAGCAAAGCTGGCCCCCTGGCGCTCCCGGGCTCGCCGCTCCGCTGCTAGCTCGGCCTGCAGACGCCCCACCTCCCGCCGCAGGGCCCGCGTCCCGCTCTCCCCTGCAGCATCCACCTCCCCGTCCAAGGAGACCAAGGAGGCGGCAGCGGCCACCCCGGCCTGCCGGCGCATCTTGGCCTCATCACTCTCGCAGGTGGCTAGCGCATCCTGCGGCTCCGCCGGGTCCACCGGGGTCAGCGCCGGCTTGAGGCAGGCGGTAGGCAGCTCGCCCTCGGCCAGCTCCAGGCTGGCCTGTTTGCTGCTGAAGGAGTCCCTCAGGCTGAGCAGCTGTTCTTCCTTCTCCCGCAGAGAGGCCCGGCCCTCCCGCAGCTGGGAGCGCAGCCCCACAATCTCACTCAGCTTCTGGGACACATCGGCCTGAGAGTCCTTCAGCTGCTGCTTCAGGAGGGAAATCTCCCCGGCCTTCTGGCACACCTGGGCAGGGTTGGGTGGGAGAAGCTAGGGTGAAGGCAGAGATCTTCTCACCCCACCCCAGCCCCCATATCCAGCCCCAGAGGTACCAAGATTCTCCAGGGCTCCCCAAGGCATCGGACTGGGAAGAAGCGACACATGGGGGCCCCCTCCTCCGACTCAGGACAGATATGCCAATCTCACCCAAACCAGAGACATCTCTGGTCCTCACAGACACTCCTAATGAATGCGTTGCCCCCTTCCCCATTCCTTTCACTTTCTTGGTGCTACTGCTCAGGGTTTCTCCAGAGGGATAGAAGGGAGGGGATGCAGAAGAAGGCCCAAGTCCCCAACCCGCACCTCCCACTTCGTTTCCTCCATCCGGGGCAGGAAGTCCGCCTGCTCCTTCTGGCAGGCGGCCACCTTGTCCTCAAGCTCTTCCCGCTGCCGCATCAGCCGGGCTGCCTCCTCCTGCAGCTGCTTCTTGTCCTGCTGCAGCCGCAGCACCTGCAGCTGCAGGCCCTGCTGAGCACGCTGGGCGCGGCGGGCCACCTGCTGCAGCTTCCCGCTGCAACCCTGCCGAAGCTCAGCCAGCTCGCGCTCCCACGCCTTCTGCCGCTCCTCCAGCACCTGGGCCACCGCCGCCTCGCTCTGCTCCAGGCTCCGCCGCAGAGCTGCCACCTCCTGCTCCTTCTCCCATAGCCGCTCCTCTAGCTCCTGGATCAGAGCACTGGGCGAGGGTGGTGAGCAGGCCGCAAACGGCAGGCCTCCACCTCCGCCCTCTCCCGGTCCCAGGTGGCCAGACCGCCCCATGGATGAGGACGACCCGCTCTTGCTGGAGGCCCGCCCACTGTCGGAAGTCGTCAGGTCTTGGTAGCCCGACCCACCACCACCGCTGCTGCCGCCGCTGCCACTACCACTACCATAGCTGGCAGTGCCAATGCGGTTGATGTGGCTGGTGGAGGCACTGAGAGGTGCCAGGTGCTGGCTATAGCTGGAGCTGTAGGTAGGCAGGCTTGTGAGTGAGTTTCGGCCTGAGTCTGAGAGGCCGCCCCCGCCCCCGCCCGCTGGGGTCATGGTCCGAGACTTGTCCAGTCCACCCTTGAGGCCGCCAGAGCCCTGTCGTCCCTCAGGGGTCCCGTTGGTTTGTGGGGGACACAAGTTCTGCATGGAATGGAAGTTCTTGGGTACAACAGGCTTGAAGGCTGAAGGCCGAACTAGCGGCTCTGAGCACTGCATAGAAGCAAGGAAGGGGGAGTGGGCATCAGGATGGGGCCTTAGCCTTGGCCGAGCCTCTTCCCTGTGGCCAAGACTTGCTCAGCCCCACCTACCACCCTCACTGATGTCCATCCCAGGAGTTGCTCAGGGCTGGGTCTCTACCTCATGGCCCCCACAAACCGTGTCTTTGACCTGGTCCCACCAACTGGACTTGGCCTCCAAGTCCCCACCCCACAGCTCCCCAGCCTAGCCTCCATCTGGTGCCTACAACCCAAACTCTAAGAAGGCCCACTTCACTCTCCTCTCTGGGCTGCCCCCCACTCCCAAAAAAAGGCCCTGGGGACTGACCTGGTCTAGCTTGCCAGAGGTGGCCAGGAGCTTAGGTGGGTGGCTGGGCTCACGATACTGTGGTGGGGCCTTGTCACTGCCACCACCGCTGCTGCTGCTGCTGCTGCCACCACTGCTGCCCACTACATTGCCGCAGACATCTGTGTGGTCACTGCCCCGCAGCTCACCATTGAGGTAGAGGGAGTTGGTGAGAGCCTTGTCCTCTGAGGGGTAGCGGCTGGGCCTCTCCCTGCTGGCCCCACTGCCACTGCTGCGAGGGCCGGGGAAACTGCCCTGGCCTCCCCCACCCCCTGTGCGGGTGCCCACACTCTTCATGGCAAACTCCTGGGCATGGGCAACCCCACTGCCCACACTGCCCATGGCCAGGCGAGGGTCTGGGGGTCCAAGCTCAGAGGGCCGCGGGGCAAAGGCCAGGAGGGGATCCCGCCCTGGGTCAGCACGCACGGGTAATGTCTCCAGCTTCGCCATGACTAAGTCAGGGAGGCACTGTGGGCATAGGTGGGAAGGCAAGATAGGTCAGCCCCACCCTTACACCACCACCTACACCCTGTTCCTCAGTGTCCCCTTCCCGACAATGGGTACAAGAGTTCCCAGACACCCAAGAAATGGGGTTGGGGTAAGAGAGAGAGCTTGGTAACGGGGCTGCCTATTGCCCACCTGATAAAGCCCACGCCCAGGACACCATGCGCCTACCCTCCCAGCTTTGCTCAGCTCGGTATCCCACTCCTCAACCCCACCTCCTCCTCCATGAGCCTCCCACACTCAGTGGCCCCCTCAATTATTCCCTGGAATTGAGGGTTCTTTACCCAGAATTTAGGGTTCTTTATCCTGGGTCTGGGCCCCTACATCCCAACCTCATGGGCAGGGAGATGGGGCTGGACAGGGACAGCAGTACCTAAATCCAAGAGGGAAACTCAGAAATTAAAGGAGGGAGAGAAACCCACCCCTATCCAAAAATTGTGGGTGGGATTCTTCCGGCACCCTAACAGGGTGTTGCATTCAAGGGCAGAAGTGGAGGCTCACTACCAGCGCAGGCTCCTCTCCTTGATTTTCCAGGGAGTGGGGGGGGGCCGAGGGGTCCTCAAGCCTGGGATCCTCCGAGGCCCGGTCTGCAGGGGCCATGAACCACACTCTTGCAGTCAGAGCTGGGCCCGAACCAGCTGCGCGACTTCGGACTGGCCGACTGAGCCATCCCGGACGGCAGTTTTCTCCTCTGTGAAATGAAGGAATGAAGGACGTACCTCGCAGAGTTGCCGCATGCCAGGTGCCCGCAGGCGGACGGGCGCGGGAGGGGAGCGGGGTAAGGAACTGCCATTGCCTTTCGCCTCTGAGCCACCACTGGCACGCCCCGGCCTCCGCGGCCAGCCGGGTACCGCGACTGCAGCACGTATCCAGGGAGCCCTCCCGGAGATCTTCCCAAGTTGGCCGCACGGGGGCCTGGCACGGAGGGCCCTTCCCCGCGTCCAGTACCTTGGTAGAGGCCCCCGAGAAGGCTGAGGCCGGGGCGGAGGACGTAATGCCACCAGCTGCCGTAGCCTGCGGAGCTTCCCCCGGCGCCTGCCTTTCCCACAGGTGGGCGGGGAGGGGAGGGGCCTTCGCACCCAGAGGTGCCCAGGAGGATTCCGCGCCTCGGAACCTCGCTACAAATTCACTGCCTCCGGGAAGAGTTCCTGGATTACTCCCCTTCTCCGCTCCCTATGGACTTCGACCCTGCTCAGTGCACCGTGAAGTCCTCTGCGCCCCTCTGTGGGCTTGCGCCCCTCCCCACCCCCAAGTCCAGCCCACAAGAACAGGGCCAGCAGGGCAAGCAGGGCCAGCAAGGCCTCGGGTTACCCGTGCTCAGGGAGGCCCCACTTCCTGGTTCCTTTGTCTCAAGTCCACACCTGAGAACACCTGCCCCAGAGATCCGCATAATCCAGCCAGGCAGGGGCAGCAGGCAGTGCCTGCCACGGGTGTAGACGCTCAAATATGTGTGCTAGAGATGGCAGGGGCACCCTTCAGGTCCTTTCCCCCTACTCTCATCAGAAACCAAGCAGGGAGCCCTCCTTTACCAAGGTGAAGGGATCCAGGTGACATACCCCAGCCCCTTGAGCACTCCTCATTCTGTCTTCTACCCAGGTGCCACTTCTAATGTTGTATCTGTGCTATTAGGCCCCAGAGCAGGGGAGCCTGACAAAATTCTTGCCCTTCAGGAGTCTTCTGGCCACCACACCTGGAATTACAGCCTTAGGTGGTTGGAAAGTTCATCACCAAGCAGTCCACACTGCCTTTGTGAAATTCCACTCTCTTAGCGTCTGCCCTCTAGGTGTGGAGAACAGCACTTTACCACCTTCCTCCCTTCAGCCAATCTGTCCCCCAGGGAGTAATTTAAATGCAGGATCAGCAAGTGCAGACTCAGAGAGCCTCCTTACTTTGGTGCCCTAGGTGCCTCTCATGTCTCACCCTAGTCCCTGTTCTGCCTCCACTACCAATATAATCCAACCCTGCTACCCCTCAGCTCAGAAATCCCCATCCTACCCTAATCATGATCCCCTTCTCTCACCATTCCTGGTGCAGTATAGGGAGCAGCCAAGGACTGGGAAGATGGAGGCTGAGTAACCTGAGACTTGGAACCAGTGGGAAGGCTTGGGCAGGGTTTGGGAGGAAGAGCTGATTAAACTTCATACAGATGGGCTTCAGGGGATGGAGGCAAGGGAGGATCTGGGCTGGGGCAACATGGTGGGTGTGACATGATGGGGGAGAATGTTTGGGGGAAATAGGTGCTTTGGGGAACACCAGAGAAAGATCTCTCTCAGGTGCTGGATAGAGAGTACTGGATAGAGAGACTGAGATCATCAGCATTCATGGGTAGTGTGGGTGGGGCCCAGCATGGAGCTAGGGTGCAGAGCCCCAAAAGCCCGGGAGGCAGTGTGGGAGCAGGAAGAAGGCCAGAAGGCAGGCCCTGCAGACCAAGATGAGGAGGCTTCAAGAATGTGGGGACAGCTCTGGTGTTAAAAAGGGGCCAGGTAAAAGTGGCATTGGAGAGTGTGCCCTGGACTTGGCAGGTGGAAATATTATTGGTGTCTATGAGAGAATGGTTTCAGAAAGATGGTGCAAGGCAAAGCCAGACTACAGGAGTACAGGAGTCTGCAGGGAAAGATGGGAGGTTCCCTGCTAAAAGAAGACCAGAGGAGACAGTCATTTAAATGGTTTGGGATTCAAGGGCTTTTTTCTAATTTTAAAATTAAACATGGTAGAAACCTGTGTGTATTGATATGCCGAAGGAAGGTGCCAATAGTGAGATCAGATATCTAGGCAAGGGGGCTAAGCCAGAGGTCTGCATGTGGGCAGGAGCAAACCTCAAAAGTGATCGTGTTGATCATGAGAGTGACGGGATAATAATGTTTGAGAAGGTGCTTTGTAAACTCTAAGTACAGTACAAACATGCAGTACTACCTTCTCTGAGATCCAGGAAAGAAGAATCTGACCGTAGTTTGGGGCTGGTCATATGCCATTCTACCCCACTGTTTCCCTGGAATGTGGGTGGTCCCCAGCCAGGTTCAGATACCCAGAGTCTGGATGGAAATGAGGTCCTAGGACTGCTCCTGAGCCTCTTATACCCATGCTCTACCTGGGGAATCCTTGACTGCCAACCCATAGCAGGCCTTGTTCCCCAAAGAGTTTCTTGCCATAATTCTAATCTGTCGTGGTCAACCCATGTTCCCTGCCTCTTGCCTCTTCCAAGCTTGTTTCCTCAAAACTCCAGCATGGAGCTGGCAGGACAAGGAGGGTCATATGTTTTCTTGATAAGTAGAAACTGAGCCCAGGGAAGGGTGTGAACTTTGTTTATGGGTCCAGGTCCAGAACTGGACCGGGTAGCTGAGTGTGGTCTGCAAAGGTGGCGTCATGGCATCAGCTCAACAATCTGGGATGACAGCCTGTTGCCCATCTCTGCCTCTATCTCTGTCCCATCCATCCTCAGTGCCTGGGACATTACACACATTATTAGTAGTCACAAAGGGGCCAAATGGACTCTACCTGTAGTTACATGGGCAGGTCCCTCCAACCTACAGTGACTACCCAGCCCCCTACATGTGTCCCTTCACTGGTGTCCTCAGGTCTCAGAGGTCCCAAGCTCAGCCCATTCACCCCCTAAGGATCTCAGCAGCACCTCCTGCCAGCACCCTTGCTGGGGGCTCCTCACTGGCCTTTCTTCCTGCACCCCCTCCCCTGTGCAGCTGCCAGGGGACTTCTTCTAAAGGGCAAAGCCAATCTTGTCCCTGCTCTTGGGCAGCCAAGTTCTTCCATGAGTGGCGCCAAGGCCAGTAGACTAGACAAGAGTTCTGGAGGCATCAGCTCCAAGTGTAAATTCCAGATCACTGATTAGAGGTGGAATTGCATGCACGTTATTTCACTTCAGGTTCTCACACCTACCTTACAGGAATCTTGAGAATTAAATATATTATAGATAAAATGCCTGGCATTCCTCTCAGCCCCCAGGACCAGAACAGAGTTTGCAGCAGAGCCCCCAAGGCCTCTCTTGCTGCCCAACACATTTTCCCTGAGCTTAACCCCTCTCCACTCCACACACAATCTCTTCCCAGATGTGTGTGTCCATCCTGCATCCTTCAAGGCCCAATTCAAATGTCACCTCCCAGGACAGCATCCCTGATTTTTCATAGTGGGGAGGGATCTTGGAGCACTTGGCTTAGGCTACTCCAAGGAGATTTCCCTCTGAGGCTTCCCTGGGGCTGGCCTGTGGGTGCCCCAGGGGGCACAGATGGCAAAGTCCTGGGGTCTCTGGACCCTGGCACTGAGGAGATGCAGAGAGAATACGTTTGGGAATGCTAGTTACAAGCAATGCAAAGAGGCAATGAATCCGGACAGGAAAATCGGGAAGGGCTTCTGGGAAGAACTAAGAGAGAAGAGATCGGGGGCACTGTAGGTCCTTTGGGGATGTAGAGGTCTCCAGAACTTCTTGGTTGGGATGTATGAAGGGAGATCCATCTTCCCTTGGCGATAGCGGGGAAGGGACGCATCCGCTAATCCTGGCTCTGATGAAGCCGGTGTTTCAGGACTGAGGGGGCTGACAGCGCCCCCCCTCCCCAGCACACACACACGCGCGCACACACGAGTCTCCGCGCGGGGGGGCGGGGGTGTTTGCCATTCACCAGCAGCCCACGGGCCCCGCAACGCCGCAGATAGAGACCCCTGCCACAGGCCATCCCAAGAAGGTGCCCAGGGGTCTTTGCAGTGGGGGAAATCCCGCCCGCACCTCTCGGTGCTCCCAACCAACGCGTGTGGCCCCGGGGGGCGGGGCGCAGAGGGAAGAGGTGACATAATCCGGGCCGCACCCCCTCCGGCCGCTACCTCCTCCCAGGCCCTGCGAAGCATCCATGACATCATCGGCCTCATCTCCACTGCCCTCCTCCCCGGGACCCCAGCAGCGGGACGCGCCCCCTCCTCAGCTCCCGGTCTGGCCCGACGAGCCTCGCGGTGCAGCGGGCACAGCGACAGGCCGGAGCCGACAGGGGCGCCGCGGTGGGCCTGCCTCACTTACTCGCTGCCTCAGGGTCCGGAGCGGGGTCTTCGGCGCCGACGCCACCGGCCGGGCTCGCTGGCGCAGCCCGAAGCCCGCCC